GCAGCTTTTTCCCGGATCGGGCCGGCTGCCGGTTCGCGGTCCTTATCTATATAATGAACCTACCAATCCATCAAGGGGTAAGACCAGCCACACATATCTTACATCTTCAACATCACTTCAGCAAGAAAATGGGAACTGAAGCCAAAAAGCTTCACATGCTCTTCTTCCCTTTCATGGCGCAAGGCCACATGCCTCCCATGATCAACATGGCCAAGCTCTTCGCCGCCCATGGCGCCCGCATCACCATTCTCACCACGCCTGTCAATGCCGCCAACATCCGCCCCACCATCGACGACTCCATCCATATCCACATCATCCCCTTCCCCTCCGCAGACTTCGGCCTCCCCGACGGGTGCGAAAACGACTCCCTCCTCATCAACGATGACCAACGCATCAGCTTTTTCAGAGCCGTCGCTTCTCTCCGCCACCATTTTGATGCTTCGCTCCAAGACTTGCGTCCTGATTGCGTCGTCACCAGCATGTTCTTGCCTTGGACTTACCATGTTGCATCCGCGCGAGGTGTTCCGCGGCTTGTCTTCAGCGGCGCTGGCAACTTTGCAGCTTGTGCCTTCATTGCTTTCCATCGGTGTCGTCACGTATTGGAGGACAAGGTTGAGTCTTTCATTCTCCCCGGCCTCCCACACCAAATCGAGATGTTAAGAACTCAAGTCGTGGATGTAAAAAAGTTAGCAGGAACCTCCTTTGAGTTCTTGTTGGAGATGCTTAATGAAGCCTTGGAGTTGGAACCGAAGAATTATGGCACGTTGTCGAACAGCTTCTACGAGCTAGAGCCTGAATATGCTGACCACTATCGCAAAGAGGTAGGGAGGGCGTGGAACGTCGGCCCTGCTTCTCTCTACAAGGAGGCGGACAACAAGACTTCAAAAGATGGGGAGCAGCCGGCCTCCGCTGACGAGTGTTTAAAATGGCTGGATAAAAAACCAGCAGGCTCAATCGTGTACATGTGCTTTGGCAGCGGTAGTAGTTTCTCGGCAGAGCAGCTGAGAGAAATGGCGCTCGGGCTCGAAGCCGCAGGGCATCCCTTTGTTTGGGTGGTGAAGGACGAAGGTCACCAGTGGGTTCCGGATGGATTTGAGAAGAGAACTCAAGGGACGGGATTGGTGATAAGAGGATGGGCGCCACAAGTGCTGATACTGAATCATGCTGCAGTTGGGGGATTTGTGACTCATTGTGGGTGGAATTCGACCTTAGAGGGGATTAGTGCGGGGTTACCCATGGTGACATGGCCGTTGAATGCAGATCAATTCTATAATGAGTAGTTTTTGGTGGAGGTTGTTAAGGTTGGGGTGGCG